CTCCCACACCTCCTATCACACACACACCTCCTCCCATATCCCACATTTCACACACACAAACACACCTCCTCTTACACCCCCTGTGTCTCTCACGCATACATGCCATTACCTGTCCAGCCAGCCTTTCTCCGAGCTTGCCCCTCTGCTTTCATCGGCCTTTGGGATTCCGTGTGCCATTTGAGAGCGGCTTTCTCTACAGCCAAAATGACAAGATCATCAGATGCTCCTTAAGTATTTCCTGGAGCCCAGTGGGCAGCTGGGGTCAGCCTAGAGCAGCCCAGGACTGGGGACCCTCTTCCCCCCCGGGGCCACGTCTGGTTCCTTCCTACCCTCTTGCTCAGGGGAAGGAACAGGTGTCTTTTCGTTGCTGATGTCTGGGGACACGCGGAGTTGCATCTCTCCAGTGCTTCCTTTACCTCCTGAGTGCCCCGCGAAGTCCCAAAGCCCTCCCCCGAAACCGATGGCCCTAGATTGGGTATCCCCTGACTTTGCTGTGTTGAGTGAGCTGAGATAACAGCTCACAGAAAGCAGGGGTCCCAGAAACAACGAGAGGGGGCTGCTGGGGACGAGTCTCTGGCTCCCCCAAGGGTTGCGGGGGGCCCAGCCCAACACCCGCAGGCCCCCTCCCAAGGGTGCAGAAGGGAAGCCCCGGCTGGACTGTCTTCTGAGCACGTCTGTGCGGCACGCCGACCCCTGCCCTAGCACGGGCTGGGCCGCTGCCATGCCCATGAGTTCGCCACAAGTCCCAGAAGAGCCTTCAGTGTCAGGACATTTGCTCACCTCCACGGGCGGCCATCAAAGGGGGTGCGCGAGAGGGTGACGAGGCCAGCCTCCTGAAGTGAAAACCGTGTGCTGGGAAGAGGAGTGGGCTGGTGTCTCGCCGTTCCCTTCGACACCAGCGGTTGTGGGCCGAGCAGGGTCCCCCTGCCCCTTCCGGGCCCCCGGCCCCCTCCGCAGCGTGCCCAGCTTCTCCTTCCGCTCTCTCCGCAGGACTTCGGGAAGTGCCCCCGACTGAGGCTGTTTACTCAGGAGTACATCCTTGCCTTGAACGAGCTCAACGCGGGGATGGAGGTGGTGAAGAAGTTCATCCAGAGGTGGGTCTCCCAGGGGGACCCCCGCCCTGCCGTGCCTGCCAGCCGGCCTTCCTCTCCACCCCAGAGCTGCGCGTCCCCTGACGCCCCGAGGGAAGCCGGGGGTGTATCTGGGCCCTGAGCATCCGTGTTCTCTGGCGGTCTCCGGCACTTACTAGCTCCGTGACATTGAGCCAGTTGCCGTACCGCTCTGGTCCCGTTCACGCCGCGACCCGTAGGAGTTGTTGCGTAATTAAAGATGATGTAATATGTGAGGAGGCCCCTAGCGCAGTACCTGGCGCTCGGTAGGAGGTCAGGAAACGGCAGTCGTCCTAAATAATAGGATTATTTCCGTGGGTCCACCTTGGGTCTAGAAGTACTGAGTGTGTAAGGAGACAATACCCCTGAGGCCCTGCAGAGCCATCACTGGGGACTTGTACAGCCACCTCCCCAACTTGGGCAAGAGGAAGCCGGAGATGCTGGTTCTTACTCCCTTCCAGTGTTTCGGAGGAGTGGGGTTGCTTTTTCTTTGACTTTTAAATTTTCTCTCTGTGCCTTGGTTTCCTCCTCTGCAAACTGAGAACCAGAGTGGGCGCTTCGCCCAGTTCATGTGCAGACCCCGTGAGCTAATCCACGTAAACGCCAAGAACTGTGAGGATGTGACGAAAATGTTCGCGATAGTTGTCCTCACTCCTCTCATCATTTAAGAAAATCAAAGCAGCCTGTTTAAGCCGGTTTTGAAACTATGCGTTTCCTAAATAGACTCACCTAGAATTCACGAAGAATTTCTAAACCCAAATGAAGTGTCCTTCTGGAGGAGCCCTGGTGGCTTCAGGGTCCCTTTATCAGGACCCGGTTATGGTTTGTGAAATTTTTTCAGGTTAGGCCTCTCTTACCCTCCGGGGGCCACAGTGATTTTCCAGGAATGTTACGGGTGTTATTCCCAGATACCGAACAGCCCTGGGAGAGGGGTATTAGCCTCATTTTACAGATAAGAAAACTGAGGCACAAGGATAGCCATGATAAATACCTATAGCTAGCATCCAGGGAGGACTTAGCAAATGTGTCCCAGACGCCATGCTGGGCCAGGGTGACTGTAATAATTTTTCTTTCAAAGCAGGCCACTTTTGGGAGTGAAATGCAGTATCACGAATGATTATTCCAGAACCCCCAGGCACAGACATGACTGTCTCGGGACGTAGGACTGCCATATGCTGAGTCTTCCCGTGGGTTAGAAAAACTGGGTCCTTGTAACCCACTGAAGAGGAGGCCACGTCCCCGTTTTATAGCTAAGCACATGGAGAGTGGAAAGCGCGAGTGATTTGCCAAGGCTGCTTAGTTGGACTTGAACCCAGGCACCCTGGGTCTCGAGCCCGTGGCCTGGAGCTTGGCTCTCTGCTGCCTGCGCCTGGCAGAGCCAGGACCCGGCACAGGGCTTGGGCCACCCCCTCCCCCTCCCCCTCCCCCGCCTCCCTGCGTGGGCATCCCCGCTGCAGCCGCCAGCTCACCCTGCCCCCTGCTCTCTTCCAGCATGCACGGCCCCACGGGGCACTGCCCCCACCCCCGGGTCCTGCCCAACCTGGTGGCCGTGTGCCTGGCTGCCATCTACTCCTGCTATGAAGAGTTCATCAACAGGTCAGTCGCCACCACCAGGAGAGCCTGCAGGGGTGGGGGGGCACGCTTCCACCCTCGGATGGGGACACTGAAGGGCCGGGTCGCCAGGGAGGGCAGCCTGTACCTGACCCGGCCGGGGACGTGGGGCGGCGTTCGCTGGGACTGCCTCCCGTCGTTTGCCAGGCCCAGAACCCACCAGGACCTGGGGATGTTACCAGAAACGCAAACACTGTGAATCAACATTGGCAACTGCAAGGCTGTTGTGTTGACTTGGCCTTAGGAACAAGTGTTTTATTCTGAAGGTTTCTCACCGCCTGGCACATCTGGCACGCTGAGGCTCTCACTGTGTGAGAGAGACAGTGTGTGCACACAGGTGCGGTGTGCGTGAGGGGCCGCGTCGGGTGTGTGCACATGTGCACGTGAGTGTGTGCGTGTGGGTACACAAGGGCTGGCAGTAGTTTTCTCCCTTTCACTTTGTAAACACGGGATTTCATTTTGCCCAGGGTCTGCGTGTGTTTCCCGAGCGTCTGTGTGTGTGAGACAGTGTCAGACGCTGCTGGGGGATAACGTGCAGTGGTCAGGATCGAGCCGGATGGAGTCAGGCTGTGAGAACACGAACAAAGAGCCCATGTGGTAGAGAAGGACTGGAAAAAGGCATGATAGGGCACTGCCTCGGGTCCTCCAGGGCTTGGGTGGAGCAGCTTATGAGGGAGGCAGCCCTAGGAGCTCAGGGAGGGGACCCGAGGACAGCGGTGGAGTCTGATGACCATTGCGGACACCCGTGCGTTCCCCACTGGGACTTCCCAGGAGACTGCGTGGAACGCAGCTCACAGTCATTCCCCTGAGAGATGATGGTGCTGTGGTGGTTACTTACCGCCTCCATTCTTTCCTGGTGGAGGCTCGCTCTTGGGATGCACAGTGACGCAGATGCCATGAGTTTGTATAGAGCTTTATACAGTGACCTCTCGGGTCGTTGGAGAGGATATGATGTGCGGGACCAGGTGGCATCTGTTGTAGCTCCCCTGTCCAGTTGTTCAGGTGGTACACTGCATGATTCCAAGGACACCAAACTAGGCCTAGCTAGAGCTGGGGACATAGCAGGAATAAATTTCAGCCCCTAAAGAGAAGACAGTGGAGGGACACCTGGGTGGCTCAGTCGGTTAAGTGTCTGACTCGAGTGCGGCTCAGGTCATGACCTTGCAGTCGTGGAATCGAGCCCTGCATCGGCTCCACAGTGAGCGTGGAGCCTGCTTTGGATCCTCCCTATCTCTCTCTCTCTCTCTCTCTCTCTTTCAAAATATACAAATAAACATTTTAAAAAGTTTAAAGAGAAGAAGGTGGGGCATTCTGAGACACTGAAAATCTGGACAAGTGAGGCTTGTAAAACAATCAATGTACTTTGAGCTCCTGGGGAAGGGGCCACAAACCCTTAATAAGGGTATATTTTCTTCTGACAGGGCCTAAGAAGGGAGGATTTCTATTTTTCATGTCCTTAGCCCTAGGTCCTGATATTCAAAGGGGACCTGTCCAATCTTGACTCATTTCCCTGTTCAGGAGGTGATAGTGTCCCTGGGGCCAGAACAGGAAGATGTCATGCCGGTCAGTCCCAAGTGCTTGTTCTGTGCCTACAGCGTGTTATGTTAGAAGCAAAAGACACACACACACACACACACACACACACACACACACACACACATACACACACACGGGAGATCAAAGGGTAGCGCATGGCTTGGACAACGGACAACTATCCTAAGCATCCTTGTGCACATGGACGGTCTCCCACCCTTGACCTCCTCACTGTAGTTCTGGAGCCGATCTGAGTGCATTGCCAACTCGGGCCACCCTAGGAAGCAGGAAGAGAGTACTAGGAGGGTCACACACTCCCAGGCTCCTTTTCCTCCAAAGGCCTGTGACTCATCTCGGCCTCCCTGAGCCCACGCGGCACATGCCTGGCCTGGAATTGGGAGGAGGCAGGAGCAGGAGCAGGAAGCAGCACCTCCCAGAATTTTCCCTCTGTGTCCTCGAAGCTGTGCTCGGGTGCCTCAGCCTTCGTCTCTCTTGCCCACTCAGCCCTCGTGTAGTGACCGCTCATCACGCGCCAGGTGCCACGGGCACCTAGGTGAACCAGCTAGACGGAGCCCTTGCCCTTTCAGAGCAGACAGTGTAGCAGGAGATGGAGGGGGAGGGAGGGAAGGAGGGAGGGAGCAGTCACGGTGCGCCTTGGTCAGGGCTGCGATGATGGAAGCCAGAGGCATAATTAACATGGTCTGTGACGGGGAATCTGAACCCTGGCTGCTGTCAGTCAGCTGGGGAAGGTTTACACAATCAGAACATAAATGTAGCACGCATATACCCTGTGACCCAACTCCGTATAGCTTTTGGTATATCCACCGGAAGACACGTACGAGAATGTTCTGGCGGCATTATTTGTAACTGCTCCTCACTCAAATCTGCCTCACCCTCCTCTCCAGTGTCCTTCAGCAGTGGGATGGTTGGACGCTTGGGGTGTGTTCACACAGAGGAACGCTAGAGAGTGGCAAGAATGGATGAACCCGAACGAGCAAACTGTGAATGAATTGCACAAATGCAAAACTGACCAAAAGAGGCCAGGTCTGAAAGATACATACGGTGCGATTCTTTTTCCCGGAACTTCAAGAATAGGCAAAAGGAATCTGTGGTGATAGAGGCCAGGAGAACGGCCACCTTTGGGGTGGGGAGTTAGAGGAAGGGCATGAGAGAAACCTCTGGGTTCCTGGAAGCGTGTCACATCTTGCTCTAGGTCAGTGGTTTGAGAACCAGTTGAGACCGGGAGCCGTCTTGACACCCCAGGGGTATCTGGCAGTGTCTGGAGACATTTGGGGCTCCCATGACCTGGGCCGGAGTTGGGGTGCTGGGTGTATCCAGCGGGTAGAAGTCAGGAATGCTGCTCAGCATACTCCCACGTGCAGGATGCCCCTCCTCCCCCCCGCCCCGGGAAACAATCTGGCCCCGAGTGTCAGTGGTACCAAGGGGGAGGAGTCCCGATCTGGTGGCCGGTGGGAACGTGTGGAAGTTCACGAAGCCCTGCACCTGAGGTTTACGTACTTGACCGTGCCGTATTTCAGTTACGCCCAGGGTGTGCCAGAGCCCTGCTGCGTTTGGAAGCACGTCGCTTCCCAGCCCCGTACTCAGTGGTGGCACCTTGGTGGTTTGGAGTTAGTCCTGATGGGAGCATTCACACTGGCAGATGCCACAATCGGGGCTCCCTTTTCCTGGCAAGTTGTTGTGGACGTTTACAAGCACATGGGTCATAAAAAAGAAGAAAAAGGGGGGTGGTGCCTGGGTCCCATCCGCTGTAATGTTGATTTAATTGGGATGGCCCTGGCATTGTTTGTTTCTTGTTGTTTTTTTAATTTTAAACTTCGCAGGCAAGTCGAGTGTGTGGCCGGAGCGGAGAACCCCTGCTCTAGGGGCAGGTGAGGGAGGGATCCCTCGGAGAGGTGATCTTTAAGTTGAGAGCTCCTGGCTGCCAGCAAGGCAGGAGGCAGGACAAGCTGATCCAGGCAGAGAAAACAGCATGTGCAAAGAAAGGCCTGGTGGTGCAGGTAGGGTTGGCATTAGTCACCTTTTCCGTCTGTGGTCCTTAAACACCTGCCTCAGAATCCCCAGGCTGCTTCCTGAAAATGCAGACTCCTGGACACAGCATTTTCAAGTTGGGCCCAGGAATTTGCATTCTTGGCAGAGTCCGTAGGTGATTCGCTCCTTGATGAAGGCCACTGCAGGGGAGGAAGGGAGGGCAACGGTGTGACGAGCAGAGAGCAAAAGAGAAGCAAAGGGCAAATTGGAGAGAACGGCCAGACCAGGCCAAGCTGCTCCTGGGGGTCGTGATAAAATGCAGATTCAGATTCAGCAGGTCCCAGGCGGGGCCTGAGACTGCTTGCCTAACAGCCTCGTAGTAAGGCTGAGGCTGCTACTCGGGGACCACACTTGGAGTGGCAGAGCTGGCCTTGTGTTTGGGTTGCGGAGTGTTCTTTCTCAGAGCCCTGGGGTCTCCGATAGGATTTAAGTAGAGAAGGGACTTGACGAGATGTCAGTTTCCCAGGTACCCCCTGGCTGCTGCACAGAGGATGGACTGGAGGGGGCAAGCTTGACCGTGGGCGGATCACAACCAGGGGCCCAGGGTGGAGGCCAGGGGAGGGCGAGGTGGGTCCCAGCCCCCAGCTCAAAGCGGCCCAGCCCCCTTGGAGCCTGGAGTAGTTTCCTGTTAGTCCCTCCAGGAAGTCACCACAAGGCCTGCGGTGCTGCGAGGTCTTTCCTGGGCTCAGGTCCATCCCACCCTTGGCGGTCAGTCCCTGGAAGATAAAGCCCTGTGGGTCTGTCCACAGCGCTCTCGGTGGGTACATGATGTACTCACTGAAGAACAGACAACTTGACCCAGGTTAGCATAGCTTGCTGGAAAATCACCCGCTCTGAGCCAAACAGCCTTGAAAATCCACTCCTAAATCCCAGCAAAGGCAAACACAGGGAAATGGAGTGTTGAGTATTTGGGTAGCAAATTAGCTCTGAGCCCATGGAGACAGTTACACTGCCCGCCCCCCCCCCCCCACCCCAGACCACACACAATTTTCCATCAACTGTTGAATTCTCGGACTTTAGCTAATGGGTTTTGTTCTTCCCTAGCAAAGTTTAAAGTGTATTTATCAAACATCCTTGGTGGGCTCGGCTCAGGCCTGGTTGTGGCCCCATGCTGGGTAAATTTAGGCCCTCCAGGTGCATTGGGTCTGAGGTCTATGCTCAGCCCAGGGCTTATGTACAAGGAACGTGTGCTCTCTTTGCAAGCACGGGACACGTGTGTGTGGCACATTTAGGGAGGGCCTGGACGAGTGACCGTTTGCAATTATGCCGTCATTCTCTGAGTGCCTCGGAGCAGTGAACTTAACCTTGACCGCACACATGGGGAACCCGGAAAGTTACTGGTGTGTGGACCCCACCCCAGAGGTTCTGATCGAATTGGGCTTCAGGATGTTCAGAAGTGCCCCCGGGGGATGTTGTATCCAGCCAGGGGTGGAAAGCTCGGCCTCTGGGGGCAGAAGGGTGAACATGGCACCGGAGAGAAATCAGGGAAGACTTTTTGGAGGAGGGGGATCTGCACAGGACCACATGGGATCTCAGAAGCCACGTGGTGGTGAGGAGCCAGGGATTTATAGTCAGAGACCTGGCTTCAATTTCCAGCCCCCTCCACTTACAAGCCATGGGGTCAGGGGTAGATCATGTGACCTCTGGAAGTGTCTTTTGTCACCTGGAACTAGGAGATGGTAATGCCGGCCATTCAGACGTATCTGAGAAGGTGGTCTGTGATAGTACTTAGCGCAGTGGCACCGACAAAGGAAGCCCATTGCTGGAATTGCCTTCACTCTAATGAGCCTCCCAGTAACGTTTGGAAGCACCCAGTGTGGAGGTGCTTTAACCAGCCTCAAGGTTCTGACAAGTCCTGCTGCATAGAGGCCTAATTTCATTGTGTTTGGCCCAGCGTTTCCCACACAAATACGACATCCGTGATGCCATCGAGGCCTTTTCTCAGTGAACCCCTGTTAACAAGCATCATCCCTCCAGGCCGGTGGAGATGCTTTAGCTGCGGGTTCGGCCAAGGGCAAGGCTGATGCCGTGGGCTGGAGGTACCCGCAGACTGCAGGCGACTAGAATTCTGGGGTTTGGGATCCACCTGGGAAGTGGGCTCCCACGGGAGCTGGATGCTGAGCCTCGTCACCTGACCAGGGACGGGCAACAGAAGTGGGGCGTGGGCCTGCCCCCAGGAGAGAGGGGGGCAGCTGGCCCCCAGGATGCAGCTAGAAGCACAGGCACTTAGTGGATCTCACGGGTGGCCCGGGGAGGCCTGCGGTGGAGGTGAACACCAAGGCCTTGTGGTATCCGTAGACTCTGACGTTTACTCATTCATCCATCACGTGTGTGTTGAATGCCCCCCTCGAGCTGGGACTGCCGCAGAAGCCTTCGAGACAGACGCTTAAGCATGGATGCCGTCTCCACCCCTCCCTGCCTTGAGACCTTGAGCAAACCACAGGCGGAGCCTCAGTTTCCTCACTCGCAGGCTGGGACATGACAGCACTAGCTCACAACACTGCCCCCGGGGGCTCCTGGGGTGGAGCCCGGGGCGCTCGGGACTGTCGCTTGCACGGTGCTCACACACCCTCTCCACCTCTCCCCGCAGCCGTGACAACTCCCCCAGCCTGAAGGAGATCCGGAACGGCTGCCAGCAGCCCTGTGACCGGAAGCCCACCTTACCTCTGCGCCTTCTGCACCCCAGCCCGGACCTGGTGTCTCAGGAAGCCACGCTGTCCGAGGCGCGGCTCAAGTCCGTGGTCGTGGCCTCCAGCGAGATCCACGTGGAGGTGGAACACACCAGCACTGCCAAGCCGGCACTGACGGCCAGCGCGGGCAATGACAGCGAGCCCAACCTCATCGACTGCCTCATGGTCAGCCCTGCCTGCAGCACCATGAGCATCGAACTGGGTCCCCAGGCCGACCGCACGCTCGGCTGCTACGTGGAAATCCTCAAGCTGCTGTGAGTGTCCTCGCCGCGCGCCTGTCACTGCCAGGGTGGGAGAGGGGAACTTGGCTGCGCGGCCGGGTGCAGCCGTGCCTGCTGGTCCGAGGCCTGCAGGGTGAGCGTGCTGAGTGTGCGTGTGTGTGTGTGTGTGTGTGTGTGTGTGTGTGTGCGCGCGCATGTGTACTGAGGTGTGTGTAAACGTGACTGGGTGCCCCGGGTGCAGATTACGGGTATGTGTGCGTCTTGAACACATGCTCTGCAATGTCTTTCGTGAGTGATGTGTCATTATCGGGGGGGGAGTGCGTAAGAGGGTGTGTGGGCTCGTGTATGCTTGAGTATCTGGGCACGTGTGCAGGCTGTGTGCATGAGCTTGAGAACGTGTGTGTAAGCCTCTGCGTAGAGCTGCCAGGATGTCCTGCGAGCACACATGGAGGTAAATGTGTCTATGGCGTGTGAGTGGGAGGGGATTTGCCTGAGTGTGTGTGTGTGTGTGTGTGTGTGTGTGTGTGTCTGCATATAGAAGTGGATGTGGGATGTACATGGATCACATTCTATAAGGGGCGATATGTAATGTGTTGGCGTGCCTGTGTGTGTAAATGCACAGTGCCTGGTGCCTGTAAGTACACAGGGATGAGGGCTGTGAGTCTGTGTGGGTATATGTTTCCGACTAATGCTAAAAGGCTGGAGTGTGTGTGTGTGTGTGTGTGTGTGTGTGTGTGTGTGTGTGCCAGACATGCCCGTGAGCTAACCTGTGACTGTGTTTCTGTGCCGTGTGATCTCTGCATGCTCTGCGTGCCTGTTACCGGCAAGTCCCGGCCCCTCCCACCCGGCCTGGCCCGGTGGGTGGTGATGAATTAACTGGCCTGCCCGATCAACTGCAATGCAGGCCTGGCTAGTGGGAAGCAGACAGGGAGACCGGTTCTGCTGCGTGCGATTGCTGCTTCTGACTGGGTGCCAGGCCCAGTCCTCCGCTCCTAATTTTCGGTTGTCGCGGCTCTACAGTGAGGGGTCTTAATATTTGACCCTTGAGGGTCTTTCCACTTCTGCCATTCACCGTGAACCACAGACCCACCTCAGTGTGCATTTCTTCCCTGCATCCACTTGAGTGGAAGGAAAGGAGGCCCATGTAGTCTGGGAGCCCAGCAGATGCCTCCCGTGTGGCTCCCCATAAGGCCTGTTCTTCAGACAGAGCTTGGCAGCTCTCAGGACGGGTCTGAACCCGGCATTCCAAACACAACAGAGGGGTGGGAGGCTTTTTTCAGAGGATCTTGTTATGGAATGCGACTGTGTGGTTACCCCGAACAGTGCGTGGTGCCTGTCTAATGACGGGCACGGGGCCCCTGTCCAGGGCTTGGCTCCCTGGGCCTGGTCGGTGCTGCCCGAGGGGGCTCACCCAGCGTCCCTGTGCCTACCTGACTCCCATGCGACATGCTTTGTCTCTCTCACCCAGGACGTGTGCTGCCCTGGCCGGCAGCTCCTGGGCTGGTGCTGGGACAGCCTCTCCAGTCGCCTGGAGAGGCAGAGGAGTGGACTGGGAGGTGCCTGGGGTTGTCCCCCCATGCTGCACAACCAAGGAGCCTGTGTGTATCCTGTGCACACATACCTATGCATGCATGTGCACACACACACACACATACACACACGCGCATATGTTATGCAGTGGCTATTGTGGCTTGAGAGAAGAAGATGGGGTGTTCAGGTGCGGCAGAGGCCAGCTGAAGGCACTTCACAATCATCGGCCCCCTGGAGGAGGCTGAGGCCGGGTCCCCAGGAGTCCTTGCCAGCCTCCCAGCATCTAGCAGCAGAGGCCAGCTGGGGGGGCAGCCACACACAGCGTTACTCCTCACGCCTCCCCCTGCTTGAAGGAAACTCCAGGTTCTGCTTTCGGGAGGGCATTGCTGAGAACACACGTCCGTCTCTCTAAGGCAGGGGCAGTCCCCACTTGCTCCCAAACGACCTTCCGGGGGTAGGTGGTGGCCGTCTCCTCCTAAGCCCTGGTGGGCAAGTTGAAGACAGAGGCAGCCCAGCTCTCTCACGACCCCTGCCACTTCTTCTGGCTGTTTTCCACAAGCACCTGGAACCCCAGGCCTTCTGGCCCCGTCCCTGACTCCGATTTCTCATTAAGCATCAAGGGTTTGTGTTTCATCATGCAGCTGACACGTGGTTTTTTTCCTTCTTCACAAACATGCTCACGAATGCGGACTCTGTTCTGCCTGGTCTGCTTCTAGGCCTCCTGTCCGCCGTGGTTGTGTAGCCATCAGGGCGTGGCGGGGGGGGTGTGTCAGGTGTCGGGCGCTGCCCACCGGGAGGCGGTCCTGACCACTGCCCGGAATAGCACCTCACCCCTGCCTGAGGGTCTCCACGAAGCTGGTTTATGTTTCCAGAAGCCTTTTCACCTTGGGGTGGGACAGCGCCTCAGAACACAATTTGCACCTGCTAAACTCTTCCTGGCCCTTTCGCTTCTCTGACCCTGCTGCCTGCTTGCGTCTCTGGCCCACCCAAGGCCCTCAGACCCGCCGGACCCACAAACCCCTGCAGCTCCACGGGGTGACACGTTGGAAATGACGCAGATTCAGAGCCAGACTGCTGAGTCCAGGGCTGTGGATGCCAGGAGGGCTTGTGGCCTTGGACGAGTTACGTGTCCTCTCTGAGCTACACCTGCCTCCGGGACGTTCTCTGGGCACCTTACAGGCACAGACGCTAGGCCAGTGGGAGTTACTGCACTTTCTGGGTATAACGGGGTTTCCTCTGTTTTAAGACACCGTTGGGAGTGAGGTGCGTTCCTGATTATATAGCGCTTTGAGGGGAAGAAAGCCCCAATGAGGCATTCAGCACACAGATCGCAAGAAGCATGTGTGGTCTGAGAACTGAGGACCCGTGGCCTTCTGACTTAGCCTGCCGTGCGCTGCAGGCAGCATTCTTGGCTCCTCTGGGCCTCGGTTTTCTTGTCCGTACGGTGCGTGTCATGATGTAGGGCCTTTCTCCTGCTGGCCCGGCTCTGGTTCTTGATGAAAGTGCACTGCCGTTCCCAACTAGCACACTCCTCAGTCAGAGTTACGTGAGGGAGGGGAAGTGTAGACGATCTAATGTGGAGCGGCGCTTCTGAGCAGGGCATTGTTGGGGCCACGGGAGCCATACTTGGAGCCGGGGCCCGGCCTGGCCCATCCACCGGAGGCGGCACTGCTCTTCCCGGAGCGTGACGGCAGCCCAGCCCAGCCCACAGCCCCGGATTACTTGCTTGTTCCCAGAGGAAGGCGTGTGCATTGTTGGAATCTGACACCTTTGAAAAGTAACATAAACCACGAGAAGTTCCCTGGAGACCCTTAAAAAGGAAAACTATTCCCAGCACAGGCCAGCCTTACCCTTTTGAGGCCCCGGGCCGGGTGGCACGACGGAAAGAATGTGGACTCGGGAGGGAAATCCGAGCAGGTTCGGGTCTATAGTAGTTTGGAGTCCACCTCTTAACCTGCTGGGCAACTGTGTCCAACTCACGCATCTATTCGGGCATCCCGTTACCAAGTGCCCCCCCGCATGCATCCACCGGGCCAGGCTCTACGCTAAATGCCAGGGCTCCCAACTCCTCTCCTGCCCTCAGTCCCTCTGGATCTGAGTGGCGCCAACTACTGGCAGTGGTGACGTTGCCCGCCTGGGGGGAGTGGGGCGTGGACAACTGCTGCACACGGTGGGGGGCCACAGGCAAGGGGCCGCTCTTCCGTCCGGGAAGAGAAGAGAGCAGACGTGCTGAGGGAGAGGTGGGCACATCCACCCTCTCTGACCAGCTCGAATCTGGCTGTTTGTTCTTTTGCAAAAACCCGGGGTTTGGAAGAGGCCCTGGTGGGCTGGAGGTAAGCAGAAGATGCCTCATCCTCAGGGGCCTTAAGGGAAAATGCAGACAGACGTGGGGTCGTCCCGATGACTGGGAGGCGTCACTAGAACGTAGAAGGCAGGCGCTGGGGAGGGGACACGGGAACTTCAGACATCGCCCAGGGTCGTCCTGCCTGGGAAGGAGCTGCCCCAGCCAGAGGCCGCAGCTCCACTGTGCGCGCCAGGCGCGAGGTGCACGGAGGGGACCGGTCGGGGGCTTGCAAGCCCTGTCACACAAGGATGGCTGAAATGGCTTCCCACAGGCTGAGGGATGGCAGGGAGGCGGGACGTGACGGTGGGGCCAGGACCGAGTCCGTGAGCGTTGCTGGAGTCTGACACCCCCACCCCGGGGTTGGGGCCCGCGAGAGTCGGGGTTCGCGTTGGGCGCCGTCCGGGCCAGTGTGCCCGGGCCTTGCGGCTTCTCAGGGCTCAGGCTGGCGCGTCAGCTCCCGTTGTGCGGCCGGGGCCACGTTCTCCCCATGCCGCGGACAAGCTCTGTGAATCGGGAGGAAATGGTGTGCTGGGAGGAAGCGTCTCGTCTGCGGGGCAGCTTAGAGCTGTGCTTCCGGCGGCAGCTGTCAAGTCGGCCTGCGGCTTCACGGGGCGTAGGTCACATCTCCACCAGGCCGAAGCGGCTGGGAACCACCCTGTCCCCGTTTCCTGGGTCCGCCCCTTCACCTGCCCCCCTTGTCCCTGGTGTCACCCACCCCCAGCACAGCAAGAGAAGGGAACTTCTCAGCCGTCTGGCCTCAGACCATCCGTGCAGTGCGGCGTGAGGCGGGAGACCTGGGCCTCCTGCGCACCGACTCCAGCTTCTCCCCCTGTGAGCTCCGTGGCCTTCGGCGGCTGTCCGGCCTCTTTGGGAGCAAAGAGCCTCTCTAGAGCCAGCCCGGCCCCATTAATGCCAGGACCAAGTGTCTGGGGAGTGACACCCGGGGCTCATTGGAGGCCTTCAGGACACTTATGCTACCTGGTGTCCCTTTTCTCCCTGAGCACAGGGCAGGCCTGGCTGCCTTCTTGGGGGTGGGCAGTCAGGCCGCTTAGAGCCTGGTCGCTGATCCCCCTTCGATCCTAGGCCAGGCCGACCCTGCTCTCTGGGAGCCCACGGCAGGTGCTCTGCTGGCCACGGGGGGCCCACAGCCCACCCCTCGGGCCTGGCCAGCTTCTGGGCACCCAGCCTTTGCCCGACACACCTGCCATGTACCTCCAAACTTGTAGACCTGGGCGTTTGGAACAGGGCCAGGCGCCGACGACAGACTTGCAACTGGCTTGGCCGAGGCGAGGGAGGAAATCTGCTGCCCTCTCCCTCCTCGTGCCTGAGGCCCCCACGCTCAGCCCCGTGTGAGCTGCCACAGTGCAGCCGGCAGGAGGCCGAGCTGAGGGCCTGGGAACACAGGTGACGCACAGTGCCCCACGGAACGGGCCTGTCGATGCCCCCTTCTGTCCAGGAACGACCCCGGGCCGGGCTGTGTTGCCCTGAAGCCCAGCGTGCGCCTCACGCCCGGCACAGCCCCAGCTCCGTGGCCTCTGACACCCACTAATTATGAGCAGTTTAAAGTCTCCTGGGAGTTTTCTCTGTTTAATGGTATTTCTACGTAGAACTTTTTTTTTTTTTTTTAAGCAAAAGAATAACCAGGAGTGCCTTTCTCCCTAGAGGGAAGTGGCCTTCCTGCAGAGATGTAAGCGGGAGACGGGGTGTCATGTCGTTTGGTTGATGGAGCACGGATGTGGGAGCCCGGCTCCTGGGTTCAAGTCCCAGCTCCTACCAGCTGTGTGACGGCCGGCGCTGGCCCTCACTGAGCGTTCTCATCTATAGAATGGGCGTGGCGGGTGCATCCAGCTCAGCAGGTGTCTGGGGCACACGTGGGCCAATCCATGTGCACTTAGAATAGCCTGTGCCCACGACAAGCACCGTTACAGCATTTGCTCCTGTTTTAGAGTTTCTGGAAACCATGAATCCGGTGGGGGAGGGGGGTGGGGAGGGGTTCAGAGAGAAGACAAGCCAGACGTGAAGGTCACTGAGTCCCCCCAAAGAGCAGCACACAGGTATGGATGGGGTCAGAAGGGGTCTCCACATCCTGATGCGCATCTGACGGGCCTCTGGGCTCCCTGTGCCCAGCCACCTGGCACGCAGAGCTCGCGCCCAGCCTTGGGCACTGGAGTCCAAGGACCCCGCTGTGAATCCCGGCTCCACACTTCCTCGCCGTGTGAGCTCAGGTGGGCCTCACTGTCTCACCTGTGAGGCGGGTGTGATAGCTCTTTCACCCTTGAGTGCCCGTCCCGAGGAGCCAGGGAGCAAGTTTGTGCCCGGTGCGCGGCCTCATAAGTGCTTAACAAAGCCCCACAAAGCGGCACTGTTTGAACTCACCTCAGGCCACCAGGCATTTGTGGGGATTCTTTTCTGTGCGTGTGTTGAGTCTTTCCTCAGAGCCCCCCAGGGTGCGAGCTGGGTCCTGAAGGCTGCCGCTTTATCCCTGGCTTGTTTGCAGGAAGGCGGGGCCGGAAAGGCTCGTGCCCAGGACTCCTGTAAACCGTGTGTCGTTGGTGGGGGCCGGTGCCGGCTCCTGGGGGTGAGAAGACCGTAACTGTCGTTTGGGGTGAAGTGCAGACACACAGCATATAAACAGACACACGGTCTATCGGGAGAACGATTAGGGTCAAATGTCGAGAAAGCTCCTCGGGGTGGTGGGGGGCAGAGGAGCACCGGATGATGATGAGAACTAAATGGAAACGAGTCCCAGGGCCGTAGGACCACGGTTCCGGTCTGGGTCCTTTCCTCTGCCCGGGCTGGTCCCAGCACCGTCGGCGCCTCCTGGGGGCACCGCCAGGCGTCAGTAGGGGTCCAAGTGTAGCGCCCCCTCCTGCTAGGATCCGGGCCAGACTGCACACTCAAGCTTGCAGCTGGGGACACGCACCCCACTTGACAACATTTCCTTCCACCTGGGAGTGAACCCCACACCCTGGCTGCGTCTCTCTTGTGTGTACCGGGGCCGCAGCTCAACAGTCCTCCTCTGGGCACCAGCCGTCCGCCTGGCCTGGTGCCCGGCATGGCAGGTGCAGAGATAAGACGCAGCCCCTCCCAGGGTGCGGGCACCTGGGCGCCCCGACCGTCTGCAGCTCAGGCGGGGCCGCTCCAGTGGCCTCAGTTCTTGTGTGAGGGGTAAAGCACTGGGACCTCGGAGGTGCCCGCCCGGCTTAGCACAGTCGGCGAGAACTGGCTACCCCTGGGTTTGCTTTCTGGCAGAGTCCCCCAAACCAGAGAAGTAGGGGGACCCGGGGCAGGGACAGAGGTCACAGCCCCAGAGGCACCTGAGGTCAAACCCAAACCCCCAGTTGGTGACTTGTGCAAATACGAGGCATCTCTAGGCTTTGTTTTCCTCCTGCAATATGGGTTGTTGTAATTGGGGTCTCGTGGGGCGTCTGTGAGCGTTAAACGGGACCCGTGTGAACGCTGTGGCTCCTGGTAAAGGCTGAGGCACCGCCATGTCCCACACGTTCCTTCCCCTGCCCCTGACCCGGCTGGCTCCCGGGGGGCCGGTTGTGCTGGTACCGTGTGTGGGGCACCCCTGCCGACTCCACAGCGGCCTCCAAAAGCTCTTGCTTCCTTTCTGGGGACCTCTCTCTGCGGTCACCCTGCCAGCTACTTAGCCACTCCCTGCCGGTAATACAGATTCACAGTGGGTGGTGGTCGTGGGGCCGTTTCCGTGGTCTGAGCAGTGAGTGCTCTCTCAGCACATTGCAGCTGTCATGCTCAGTCATGCCAAATGTCCCTGTTCTGGCACAGTCGGCCCCTAGGTGGGGGGGGACCCTCCAGTGCCTGGTCTCACCTGAGGCCTCAGCCAAAGCCTCAGCTGCCGTCTGTCAGAGGTGGCGAGAGCCAGGCCTGGATCTGATCTCTCATCCACCACAGCTGTGTTAGCGTGCACAGTTAACTTCTCTGAGCCTCAGTTTCCCCTCTGTCGAGTGAGGCTGATCTTCACCGTGAAGAAGAAACAGGCGAAGTTCTCGGCGTGAAGGAGTATGTGCACAACGTGCCGGCGAGGTCGCAGCTGCTGGTATCTGTTCCATTACCGTCATCATCACCATCATTGGCAGGGACCTTTTTTTTTAGTTTATCTATTTTGAGAGAGAATGTGTGTGAGCAGGGGAGGGGTAGAGAGAGCAGGAGAGAGAGAATCCCAAGAAGGCTCCACACTGTCAACACAGAGCCCGATGTGGGGCTCACGCTCACGCACAGTGAGGTCATGACCCGAGCAGAAGTCAGACGCTCGACGGACTGAGCCACCAGGCGCCCCGAACAGTGACTGTTCAGGAGAGAAAAGCTGTCATCTGGACAGAGGAGTAGAAGTAGCTGATAAATCAGGAGGGTTGCCCCAAACTGCAAACGAATAGCATACCATTGTTATGTTTTATATGAGTAAGTCTACAAATTTGCCACCGGGTCCTGGACAAAGATGAGAACACCTCTGCGTTCCCCTCATAAGCCCCCCGGGCCAGACCGCTTGGGCAGCCGCAGCAAAATTACACAGACCGGGTGGTTTTGACGAAACCTGTTTTGAGAAACCTGTTTCCTCGCAGTTCTAGAGGCCAGAACTCTGAGATGATGGCGTGGGCGGGATGGGTTTCGTCTGAGGCCTCTCTGCTGGGCCTGCAGTCACCTACCTTCCTTCTTCCCGTGTCCTCACACAGTCTTGCCTCCGTGTGCGTGTCTGTCCCGGTCTCTTCTTGAGAGGACGCTGGTCGCACCGGGTCAGGGCCCACCCTCACTGCCTCGTCACATCTTCACTGCATCTGTGTTGCCAAACACAGACACGTTCTAAGGTGCCGGGGTTGGGATTTCAACCTGATAACTCAAAAGTCAGAAGGAACAATGATCTGGTAACCTGGGTGCAGAGGTGAGGTGGGATGAGGCCCCAGGGAGCCAGATGGCTGGCCCCTTCGGTTGCCTGAAGGAACTCTCTGGACGGGTTCTGTCTGTCAGGCTGGCAGACACCGGCCGCTCATCTTCCCAGCTCCCTGGAGGCGGGAGGTGGCTGGAGCACGGTTGGCGAGTCCCCGCCAGACCCCCGCCCCGTCCTTGGCCACAGGCCGAACCTGACTGTCGCCCCTTCTCTCTCTAGGTCGGACTACGATGACTGGAGACCGTCTCTGGCCAGCTTGCTTCAACCCATTCCGTTCCCCAAAGAGTAAGTCCCACACCGGCCTCTGACCTCAGCGGTTCACCGGTCACCCCGGGAACACCGCGGGCGGTAGTGGGAGATGGAGACGTTGGTCCTCAGCTGTGAGGCCCCTGGGGAGGCCCCCCACCTCCGAAACATGGGGAGATTACCTCATGGCAGCGACACGAGGATTCGCTGAGCCAAGCAGGCAAACAAAGCCCTCCCCACCGAGCGTCCGTGCAGGGAAGTTAGCAACTTCTGTTCTGCTTCAGGTGGGAATGGGAATACCTGTCTGTGCTCTCTCCGGTGGCCACAGCGAAAATCGGAAGATAACGCACGTGGAATTGCTCTCTGTGCCATGCCACCATATGCCGAAAGCTCTCTTATTGCACCCATTACGATTATTAGCTTGTGTTCCACAGTGAGTTGGGCCAGAAATGGACCCTCCCCGTCTCTCTCTTGCCAGCCCTTATGCCAATATTGAACTTATCACAGGAAAATAGGGAGAAAACGGTCTAGTGGATAATGGCCTGCGGAGAAGGCTTTGTCTGAATAACCAGGCCCTAAAATGCCTCCAGGTCTCTGTTTTGACAGATGTGGAGAAGCCAGGCCTCAGGAGGCAGCTCAGGGCTCTCTCAGGAGCCGATTAACGAGCCTGTGTTTATGAAATGCGGCTCTCTGAGGGGGACATTATACCTGGTAATTGCCCCATTTGCTGGCCTGGCCCGTCCCTGGGGCCCCCAGGACTCAAGACCGGAGAAATCCGACTCCTGAGAGCCACGGCTGTCTCCAAAGAGCAGTGGCGTCACTGGCTGCGCTCGCTGTCCCCATAGCCCTGGGGACACATGTGACAGTGGGCCCATGATGCAATTCGCTTGGAAAACGGTCCCCAGATGCCCCTCTGATGCACGGCGATAATTAGCACAGCCGCACCTTAATGGTGGAACAATTAGTGCACACACCTGGGTCTCCGGTGCCCGCGTGCACGTGCTCACAGACACCTGCTCAGCACCCACAGGTGTGGGACCCGGGCCGTGGGGGGCTCGGTATGCTCCCGTCGCCAGGATCCTGGCCTCGTCCAAGGAGGCCTTTGCTTCGTAGTTTCCAAGAGGGACAGAATGTCCCTGTCTCACCCTCAACCTCCTCCTTCTTCGGATCAGACGTAAAGCCGCACCGTCCCCAGAGGAAGATCTTTGGATCACTGAGGGTTTCAAAAGCCCCCCGCTAACTGCAGTTTCCCTTTGTTTTTGTTACAGAGCCCTCGCACACGAAAAGTTCACCAAGTGAGTATTTGGCCACCTTCCTCATCACCTCCTTCCGGTGCGAATGTCCTCTGCCGCGGCCGTGCTCAGCGGCCAGCCCTCCTTCCAGCCCGTTCTCGGTCACGTGCATAGCCAGGCCTGCCCGAGGGATTTCCTGACCCCGCCAGCTCCCC